ACAGTCAAAACTAAGTTAATATATCTTGGAGGAAGAACAGTTACTGTATAATGGAAGCCAGAAGTCAGCAATGCCTGTACTTGGTGATGAAGCTAGAGATAATGAGCGGGTTTATGTGCAGGGAGATATCTTTTTCTATGCAAGAGGCCTTCTTCAATTTCATCAGCTACATCATTGCCCACTGAGGGGTGGGAAGTAGGACTTGAGGCATTTCTGTCTGTTTCCAGCGTATCCTCTCTAGATACTCTATTATCAGACCTGTGAATACAGACCAGGCAAAAAGACCCATGTTTGCTTTTATAAAAATTTTATTGTATAAAATGAGCGCATCTGATCTCACCTATTCTCAACAAACTATTGTTACTACTTTTTCAGAATGCATTCTGTCCCTCTGGTGTGGAGTCCACAGGCCCAGAGCCCCCTTGTTATTAAAATGGCAGTCCTCAAGTGATGGGGGGGAAGAGTCAACTCTCTCTGTGCCACCTGTGAGCATATCTGTGACTGGTTCTTCTCCTCATACCCCATAGCAGCTGCTAAGTTCCCATCTTCTCACTGGTGACACTTTCAAGTGTTCAAGAGAGAGTAGAATTTACTTTTTGAATGCCTCTGATTTATTATTAGAACATTCTGCATGTTGATAAGGAAAATAAACAAAGGAATTGAAACTTGATGTCTAAAGATCATTAGCCCAATCTAATTTTGTTTGGGATTTATTACATTATTTGTGCCCATTGGCTGTGAACTGAAAGTATTCATGGATATGTATTCCATACCAAACGGGCGTTTAGCTCCTGTATGGTTAAAATAATATCAAGACCAGTCTATTGGAAGGAAGGAGATACCCCATCTAATAACTTTCTTTTGTAGTCTTCACATTCATTGAGAAAGTTAATTGGCAATCTTCTCTGCACACTACCCCCAACCCTGACCCAGGAACTTGCAGAGGACACTGTGCAGTAGATATAATAACCCTGTCTGCAGGCAATATGCACAGTTGGGAAAGATAATTAAATAAGCTCTTTTTGAGAGATCTACAACATTTCAACAGAAGGATCGAGCAATCCTGCTGGCCTCCAACTGAAAACTATTACTAACAGACCTACTTCAGACAGATTTCATAATCAGCATACTTATGTGGTACAAATGGTTATGGGGAGCTTTTTTACCTCCCCAAAGAGCACTAAAACTGTCAGACCTCAACAGCACTGAAATTTTAAAGTGAAAATTCAAAAGTATAATTCCATTTAATATGTTAAGTTGCCACCAGAAAGCAGACCTTTGGTTTTCCAAAATTGACTGGTTATATGGCCGAACTCCTGAGATACCCCCAGATATGATGCTGTGTAATTTTTTAAGGTTTATGTAGGATATTGAACAATCTGGGGTAGGCTTCATCATGGGTGACAATATTATATGATTACATTTTCACTACATAAAACAGTGAATATCATGAGAAGAGAGAAAAAGACTCACTTTTGAATGTTAACATTTCTGAAAGTGAGTTTAATTTACAGTGTAAGTGTATACTACTGTTATGAGACTTCACCCAAAAGATTGGGGTGAGATCTGAGAGAATTAAAACTGCCCCGAGGGCTATCATTTTACGTACTGCTCAGTGGCTTTGGTTTATCCCCTTAGTCATCGGGTGCTGAGAAAGAGAAGCACTTAATGCTGCATCAGCCTTTTCTCCTTGAGCAAGGCTAGTGCATCTTGACCCAGTTCACTGTGTAGGTAAATAGCTGCACATTGTAGATATACCTGATCCCTTTTCCCCCAGGGCATCTGAAACCAAATCATTGCTTTTTAATCTTGCTTTTTAATATTTTAGTTTTTCTTATGAACAAAGCCACCTTTTTATTCTTCCAGATGCAAGTTCTTTTTTACATGATCATGGAATCCACTCTTTCCAAGGAAAAGACACCTGCTCTAATAAAGGATATATACATCATCATGGGCCTTGGCATGGCTGTGTAACATAGTGGAAGATGCAATATATTTAGACTTTTTTAAAAAGCAAAATTTGATGGAATCATGCATTCTGTGACTCAAATGAGTACATAGTCTAGCAGGATTTACAGATACATGAATGATTATCTTGAATATAGTGTAGAAAAATGATCTGTTAGAAAACATGTGAAAAGATGCTCAACATTATTAGTCATTAGGAAAATGCAAATTAAGATCACATACTTCTGTATATCTATTAAAATGTCTAAAATTAAAAAGACTGATCGTATCAAGTATTGGTGAGAATGTAGAGCAACTGGTACTCTCATATATTGCTGGTATGAATGTAAAATGGTAAACCCTTTTTGAAAACAGTTTGACAGTTTCATGAAAAACATACACTTATGATATGGTCCAGACATCCTACTCTTCAATATTTAACCAAGAGAAATGAAAGCATATGTCCATATAATAATTTGTACATGAATTGCTTATAGCAGCTTTATTTGTAATAGCCAAAAACTGGAAGCCCAAATGTCCAATGAAAGGATAAACAAAGTGTATTTATTTGTTGGATATGTCCATACAATAGAATACTACTCAGCAATAAAAAGAATCAACTGTTTATACATGCAACATGGATAAGTCTTAAAATAATTATGCTGGGTAAAAAAAAAAGTCAGACAAAAATATAAGAGACGGCCGGGCGTGGTGGCTCATGCCTGTAATCCTAGCACTCTGGGAGGCTGAGGCGGGTGGATCGCTCAAGGTCAGGAGTTCAAGACCAGCCTGAGCAAGAGCGAGACCCCGTCTCTACTAAAAAAATAGAAAGAAATGATCTGGACAACTAAAAATATATATATAGAAAAAATTAGCCAGGCATGGTGGCACACGCCTGTAGTCCCAGCTACTTGGGAGGCTGAGGCGATAGGATCACTTGAGCCCAGGAGTTTGAGGTTGCTGTGAGCTAGGCTGATGCCATGGCACTCACTCTAGCTGGGGCAACAAAGTGAGACTCTGTCTCAAAAAAAACAAAAAACAAAAAAACAAAAAACACAAGAGACTATTAGGAACTGAATTAGTATGTTAGCAGTGAGACTGCAAATGAGAAGAATAATTGTAGTTACTTCAAAGATAGAGTTGATGAGGTTTGATTATGAGATGATGGTAAGAGAGGGAGCATAAACTCTGAGGTCTGTCTCTAGCTTGGATTTCTTTGGGTGGATTCTCAACTATTTAGAGATAAGTGTTATGTGAAAAATGGTGCTTAAGCACATAAGAAATAATAAGCTAATCGTTTAATGCTGAGATTTTGATAACTCCAAGGAGAAGCAGCCAGTAGGCAGACCATTCATCCTTGACCGTTTAAGGAAAGCAAACGTATATTTTGGGTTTTGAATTAACACAAGTGTAGATAGCTAATAAAAGTGTGACATTGATGTGAGAAAAAGAAAAGAACAACAACGAAAAAAGGGATTCCTAGAGCCATTCTCATAGATAAGAGGAAACAAAGAGTTGAGGGGAGAGAGAGAGAGGGAGAGAGAGAGAGAGGGAGATAGAAGGGAAATAGAATATGGTGGGATACCTCATGGGGGAAAAAGGACAGGAAACTGATTTGGAAGACAGCAAACTTTATGGTTACCTTGTTTCTTTAATGTCCCTGTCACTCTGGCATATCTTAATGTGTGTGGTTGGATTTATTTAGTCAACTGATCCAAATTCTCTGATTAAGTGGAGCTCAGAAGAGGTAGTTGTCAAGTGTGTTCAAGGACCCAGATTCTGAAGATTATATTCCTATTTCTGCCCTTTATAGATGAATAAACTCTCTGTACATCTGTCTTCTCTGTAAAATGGGAATATCTGTTCCTACTTCTTCAGATTGTTGTATTAATAAAGAAGAAAAGAATAGTGCACAAGAAATGTTTAGCATTGCTTTTATCACACAGTAAGAGCTCAATAAACTCATCATCTTCTTTCTCTTCTTTTTCTTTTTCTCCTTTTTCTCCTTCTCCCTTCTTCCCTCCTTCTTCATCCTCCCCTTCCTCCTCATCATCATTTTCAAGCATCCACCATATTGTCAGTAATGATTGGAAAAAGCTTTAATCTCCTAATCAACCATTAGAAAACAAGGGCACAGGTTAGTGGTTATTACCAGAATAATGTCACCTTTATTCATCTGGCTCATTCTCTCAAGTGATCTATTTATATATGCTATTTCATTGGTCTTTCTTTTACATGTTATGAAAAAAAAAAAAAAAGAGCATGTCTTAGTGATGAAGCAAAGAAATAGAGATTTAGTGACTTTGGTCCTGACTGTTTCAGTTCCTGTTCGGTGTAAGGCAAGTAATTTAAATTCCTTGTACCTTAGTACCCTCAACTGAAACAGAAGTGAATAACAGTCACATGGAGCTGTTAGAACTGTCTAAATAGAAAGCATAAGCATTTTAACATTAAGTATAAAACTTTATATAAAGCTAAGTGGGTTGTATAAGTTGGTATAATTCTTTTTTTTTTTTTTTTTTTTGAGAGAGAGTCTCACTCTTTTGCCTGGGCTTGAGTGCCGTGGCGTCAGCCTAGCTCACAGCAACCTCAAACTCCTGGGCTCAAGCGATCCTACTGCCTCAGCCTCCCGAGTAGCTGGGACTACAGGCATGTGCCACCATGCCCGGCTAATTTTTCTATATATTTTTAGTTGTCCAATTAATTTCTTTCTATTTTTAGTAGAGACAGGGTCTCGCTCTTGCTCAGGCTGGTTTCGAACTCCTGAGCTCAAACAATCCACCCGCCTCGGCCTCCCAGAGAGCTAGGATTACAGGCGTGAGCCACCGCGCCCAGCAAAAGTTGGTATAATTCTTAATACCACATTGAAATTCGTCGACATAGCTAGGTTTAGAAAATAGTTGCTTGACTTCCCTATAAAGTGTGTTTCTATTACACTTTATTCCATGCAATAGAAGATAGACCTCGCCAGTTCAAATCGCTGGTTGCATTCATTTCAGCAGTAATGAATACTTTTCATTTTAAATCAGCAGCTTTTTCTTATCTTATTTCAGGCTTTGTGGATTTGACCCTCCACGATCAGGTCCACCTTCTGGAATGTGCGTGGCTAGAGATCCTGATGATTGGTCTTGTCTGGCGCTCCATGGAGCACCCAGGGAAGCTCCTGTTTGCTCCTAACTTGCTCTTGGACAGGTGAGTAACCTGGATGTAGCCTGGGAGAAGCATATCCTTCATGATCACCAGTTTGTTCATGATGCTATTTTATTCCATACTCTATGAAGCTTCAGATAACTTTGTTAGGTATGTTTACTTTATAAATGGGTGAATTTGGGTGATGAAGGCTAGTCAAGTTCACAGAAAGCTAAGGATTACTTTCTGCTAGACTTCTTAGAGGAACTCTGTTATTTTTAATACACACACACACAACTGGGAACTGTAATTTTCTAACTCCACCTTCAACTTGTGTTATACAAAAAATGGTGAATTACCCCCCTTTAATTATTCAATTTTTTTTTGGTTCTTATACATCCAAACCACAGTAACCTTTTCATTTCCTTCTCCAATTTCCCATCAGTAAAATAAGGAAATTTGACCAGAGAGTTCTGAAGGCCATTTCTAGTTCTATGAATTCATTTCATTTTTCAAATATGTTGCTCTCTTTAACATATTATACTTGAGTTGTAGGTCTTATTTTTTATCCTTTTCAGTCATCGATTAGAGTAATAGAACTTAGACATTATTCAGTAGCAGTTACCATTGAGGGCGTCCCCACCCTGCTCCGGCTGCTGTGCTAAACACTGTGCTTACATGATCTCATTTAATCATCACAGCACTCCTAGAAGGCTGGAATCTTATGATCCACATTTTGCCAGAAAGGAAACTAATTCTCAGAGACATCCTGCTACTTGTGCAAACCAGGGATCTAGCTAATGCTGGAGCTAGGTTTTGACATCAGGATCTTTCTTGCTTTAGCACACTATGTTGCATCCTAGCCTGACACCTGGTCTTCCCACTCTGCTGTTCAGTGATGCCTCCTTTGGTTTGCTGCTGTAGCTTTCTGTTTTCCAAGTATACCTTGTCTTTTGGGGCTACATAACATTTTGGTTGGGAAAGGACCATCTTCTTGTTCCTTGCAAACCTATTTTACCTGTGTATTCAGCAGTCCAAGGCTGCCAGGTAGCCCACGCTGCATCCCTGCAGCAAAATTTATTCACAGCAAAATCTATTTAAATGCTGGAGAATTGTACAAGGTGTTGGTCACTCTTTTGCCATTTTGTGTCATAATAATATGACTTTTGAAAAACAGTTACAAGCCTGCTCAAGAAGCAGATTTTACTGTCTAAGGAATGTATCCTGGTATCACAGTTTCGCAAAATTATTGAGAATGGCCACGAGCCTTATGCCTTAGACCTGCACTCCCAGTGTATTCTGTTGCCTTTTAGAGGATGTCCTTCCAGTATTCCTTTCCTTTCCTGTCTTCTCCACTCCTTGTTTTCCTTGTCTTATCATTTTTTTCTATCTCATTTCTCCTCTGTCTTTTGCTTTCTTCTTTCCTTTTTTCCTTTTCACCTATCTCCTTTAAATTTGTTTTTTCTTGTCTGATAGTAGTAGTGTGATTCTTTGAACAAGTTATATCAAGTTTGCAGATGAAAATCTTAGACCACATAGGACATTTCCTTGCTGCTGACTGGAACATGTCTTCCCTGTGTAGATTTCTGGGCATTCCTACCTGCACTAATCTGCTCCATGATTTCCGTCCTCATCCATGCCTACCGTCCTGAGTGCCTGCTTGCTGAGAAGTCATAAAACCACTGCATTTTGGATATGAAAGGGTTTTTGACATTACCTCATGCAACGAACTCATATTACCAATGAGGTGACATTCCCACTGTGGCTAATTTTCTTTCCTATCTCACACAAGTACGAGTGACTAAAAGCTCTCATCTCTATCCATTCCTACTTTTTAAAACTCCAGATTTGAAGTTTCTACTCCCTCTAGATCAGGATTTCTCACCCTCTGCACTACTGACATTTTGGTCAGATAATTCTTTCTCGTGGGGAGCTGTCCTGTGCATTTTAGGATGTTTAGCGGCATCTCTGGACTCTACCCGCTGGATGCCAGTGGCAAACCCCTGCCCGTGTTGTGAGCACGAACCACCACGTCTCCAGACATTTCTAAATATCTCCTGTGTGTGGCGGGGGATGGGCGGCCAAACTGTCCCCAGTTGGGAACCACTTCTCTACACTTTCCCACCTCAGTGTCTTCTAAACTCTTCAGATTCACGGTATCCACAACTGAATACATTATCTTTCTCATCCAGTGTGTTCCTTTCTTGTTCATCTCTGTCTTAGTGACATCAGCATTCACCTAGAAGCTAGAGTGATAAAGTTTAAATTAACCGTGAAATCCACCTCCTCCCTCACTAGATTATCCAGTTAACCCTCAAGTAATCTCTGCACTATTTCTGAACCCAGACCTCCCCTTTGTCTCCGTCCTACTGTGCTGGCTCCGATCCTGGTTGTCCCTCTGAGATTCCTTCTTTCCCCACCATTGACTCTGTTTCTGGGGCCAGGCCCCTCCATCTCCCACAGCGGTGCCAGAGAGGACTTTCTAAGGCACAGCTGTGATCATCATACTTCCTGAATCACCTTTCATTGGCTCCCTCAGTTCTTTAGAAAGTCCTGTGTAGACTTCTTATCTTGATCATCGTGACTCTCTATTACAAGTGTCATAAGCACCGATATACGCAGAGCCAGTGAGATGATGTAAATGAAGAAGGCCAGTGAATGAGAGTCCAAGAGGCAGCGCTGGGGATTAGGTGTCCTGGTGAGCTCTTGTTCAGGCTAAAAACACCTGGCAGCTGAATTCGGCCTGAGGGCTGTTGGTGGAACTTTGCACATTCACGTTTCTCTCCTGTTGCTTCTAAAAGAGGCTCTGCCACTGGGGTTCCTTCTCAGAATCTTATCCATTCTTTAAGGCTCATTTCAGATGCCGCTTTTCCATAAAACCTTTCTTCGAACTCTCTCCTCTTCAGGCAGAAAGTCTCCTTTCCTTTGTCTAGGTTCTCACGGTGTTGGTTTGCACTTCTCTTAAAGTGTTATTCTCCTAATGCCTTGTGTTAGTTATGATCGAATATCTTATCTTTTCTACCAGCTCATAAACTTTTTGTGGTCAGGAACCAGATTTTGTTTATCTTTGTGTCATCTCCAATGTACAAAGTCTTCCACGACACCCAATAATAATTTTTTGTTAATGACACTGGCCCGGTCACTTCCGTAGCTTGTGGCAGAATCAGGAGGAGAATCCACATCTTCTGATAGTCATTTCAGCTGTCATTGTCATCAAATTCACCTCCTTCTTGTTCATTGCTACTCATCAATTCCTGGCTTATTCTTTTATAGACTTAACAAAAGTTAACACCCATCTGTTTTGGTAGGATTTTCTTAATCTCTAAATGCATTTGGCTTGTGCTTATACTCCACAAACCTGTTATGCAACTTTTAAATTCCAAATGGAGATAAGCAAAGAGTCATATCTTTCCCATTAATCATATCTTTCTTATGAAGTAAAATCCTTAAGGTCTCACTACATGTAAGAATATTTTGGTACATGTTAATGATGAGGAAAGTATGTAAATAACATTTATAAATAATATAAAATATAAAAATAAAATATAATCTATAATTTTAAAATTTTTCTAATTTTTCAATCATTAACATGCACATAAATATTAAATTTCAATATTATCAAATTACCCTCTTGGTGTTTGAGGGTAATTGCTCTTGATGCCATTGACAGGTGAATAAAAGTAAAAAATATTGTGACCAGCAGCCCATTTGAAATTTTATACATGTGGAAGATGACTTTTGAGTGACAACTAAGAATGCTGTTTTGTTTTTTTTTTTATGCCTTACGGGCAACCAACCCCTCTGATGAAAGTGCACTCTCTGATTAGCATGTCACCTTGATCTTTCCATTGCTCTTTTCTGATCATATTGTACACAATAAACATTTTTGGTAATAAAATGTAGATATCTGTAAATTTTAAAGCTAAGTTGTTGAGAGCTGGGAGGCAGAAAATGATATTAGCTTCATCTTTTTTTCCTATATCTCAGGCTTTGTGACACTACCTATGAAAGGTCGGCCACCTCCATAGGCTGTTTGCATTTGCATAGAAATAGGGAAAAGAGAAATCCCTAAATCGTGAGTAGCCCTGTAACCCATGGATCACCAATGTTGCTAACTGGAGACAGGGTTTCACCTGTGCTGATTATAATGATGTCCTGTTCTCTCAAATCGCCTTTCCAAATCCAGGCATTTGTGCCTTACAGGGCCATCAGGGGGATAGAATTTACCCAAATCTTTCCTTGTAATTATTCAAATGTTAGTATTGGCAAGTGGGGTTTGGTGATTATAGGAATATATTAATAAAAACTTGCTGGGTTGCTATCCCACATATATGAGTAGAGGACATATTTTGTATCTTATGTCCGTTTAAAGAGTTATTGCTTGATTTACTCCCTGATGACAGCCCATGATATCTTAATTCTAGGAGTTCGTAACTTTCCTGGTAGTCATATGCTCGTAGGCTAATTTTATCCCTGCCATGCTTAGCCTACCCACACTTTCCAGTTCTTCCCTGTATCCTGCAGCAGTGACTTCCAAGCACTTAATGCAGTCATCTCTTCCTGTGAAAACTAAGGAATAAAAGTTATTATAAGGTATAAATAAAGAACTTAGTAATTTCTCTTGGGGTGGTGTGTGTTTGTGCATGTGTATATTTTACAAGAGGAAAGTTAAAGATACTAAGAACGCCTGTGAAAGTAATCAGGAAATGGAGAAAACTTGTTTTCCATTCTAGCACCTAATCCTTTGGTGTGTTTTGGCACTAGAAAACACAAAATATGTCCTCCGTGTCCACTAGGAATGCGTCTCTGCATTTAGTCCTGCTTGAGTGCTTATACTGGAAAAATATACACTGAAAACGGGAGCAGAAGTGTTCATCACATATGGTTCCTTGTGGGGGTCTCTGCTTTTGCAAGAGTAAAATAATGTTCAAGGAAACAATGTAAATGTCCTGTTCAGTAAGACTATCCAGTTTCCAAGGGACTGTCTAATTTTGTTTTGCTGGCGCCATCCATGCTAACAAATTCTGAGAAATATTTGTGGATTTCTCAGTGAAGCCAAAGCA